AATAATAGAATATTTCCCCAGTCCTAGTGTCTGGAACACCTTGCCCATTCCTGCTCAATGGCACATCCTTTCCAGTATTGAAACATGGCTACCTCCCAGTCCTGGTTCCCCTTCCCAAGTTGCCCATTTTCTACCTCTGTTGGCAGTAGGGATAGCCATCTGGGCAATCTGTCAGAGTGTGGCTTCGTGGTCTGGCTGAAGTCTGGAGCCCTCAGGGCTGAAGGGGGCATGAGGGGCCCGGTTCCCCTTCAAGTGATACAACCCTTCCTTCTTTGCAGGGAGAACAACCTGGAGGAGTGTGGCTTGGAGCTGTTCTTCATCCAGGACATGGACATCCTGGGCAAAGTGACCACGCACGAGCTCAAGGAGGGCGGGGAGAGCATTCGGGTCACCGAGGAGAACAAGGAGGAGTACATCATGTGAGTGTGTGCACACGTGTGTGTAGGGCAGCAGGGGGTTCAGAGGGATGGTCTTGTAACTTAGGTCCATGCGATGTGAGGCTCCCTAGTTTGGTCTGGGCTTTATGGAGTCCAGATCTTCCATCAAATATTGGGGGGGGGGGGGGGGGGGGGGGGGGCTCTTTCACACTTCACAGTTACATGTACCCCTGAGATGTAGAGTTTGGTTGAGGTCCCAGAGCTCTCAGCAGATCCTTCCCAAATCTAGAAATCCCAGGGCTGCATAGGATGGAGCCTTGGAATCAAAGGAGTAAAGCTGCATGATGTGAAAGAGGCCAAGGAAAAGCAGTAGCAAGGATGGGGAAAGCACTTTGCCTCTCTCGAAAAGCTGCTTTGCCTCTCTCGAAAAGAGCACCTACCTCAGCGTTTCTCAACCTGGGGGTCGTGAGAGGGTGTCAGAGGGGTCGCCAAAGACCATCATAAAACACAGTATTTTCTTTTGGTCATCTGGGTTCTGTGTGGAAAGTTAAGTCCAATTCTATTGTTGGTGGGGTTCAGAATGCTCTTTGATTGTAGGTGAACGATAAATCCCAGCAACTACAACTCCCAAATGTCAAGGTCTATTTTCCCCAAACTCCACCAGTGTTCACATTTGGGCATATTCCAAGTTTGGTCCAGATCCATCATTGTTTGATTCCATGGTGCTCTCTGGATGTAGGTGAACTACAACTCCAAAACTGAAGGTCAATGCCCACCAAACCTTTCCAGTATTTTCTGTTGGTCATATGGGAGTTCTGTGTGCCAAGATTGGTTCAGTTCCATCATTTCCATCATTGGTGGAGTTCAGAATGCTCTTTGATTGTAGATGAACTATAAATCCCAGCAACTAGAACTCTCAAATGACAAAACCAATCCCCTCCAACCCTACCAGTATTCAAATTTGGGCATATTGGGTATTTGTGTCAAATTTGGTCCAGTGAATGAAAATACATCCTGCAGATCAGATAGTTAGTTACATTACAATTCGTAACAGTAGCAAAATTTCAGTTATGAAGTAACAATGAAAATAATTTTATGGTTGGCAACATGATGAACTGTATTAAAGGGTCACGGCATTCAGAAGGTTGAGAACCTCAGACCTAGCTGTTGCCAAGGTGCTCTGAGGGCTGGATCATGAGTGAGCCAGGATGGGATCCACTGGAAGCCCTGGAGGTGCTGAGCATCTCCCTTCTTTCCTCCTCCTTTTTCTCCCTTGCTCTTTCTTTTCTGTTTGTTCTTCTTACTTTCTCTCCTTCCTTCTTATTCTTTCTTTCTGTTCTCTCTCCTTCCTTTACTTTTTCTCTTCTTATTCTTTCTCTTCTTCCTTCTCCTTCCTTTCTTTTCCTCTCTCTTTCCTTCCTCCTTCTTCCTCACTCACTCATTCTTTCCTTCCTTCTCTTTCTTTCCAGGCTGCTGACAGACTGGCGCTTCACTCGGGGCGTGGAGGAGCAGACCAAGGCCTTCCTGGACGGTTTCAACGAAGTGGCGCCTCTCGAATGGCTGCGCTACTTTGATGAGAAGGAGCTGGAGGTGAATGAGAAGGGCCTCTAGATTTAGAATCAAAGCCCAAATTCAGGGACTCCATTGGGTTTCCTTAGGACAGAAATTTTCAGAGGGGGTTCTGCCTATTCTTTCCTCTGAAATGCTGCCTCCAGCACGTGGGATTGACTTCTGGTCTCCCATCCAAAAGCTGACCTTTTATAACTTCTACAATCAGGCATAATCTAGAGCAGCTTTTCTCCACTTGGGGATCGCGAGGGG